TTTTTACAAATGACTATCAGCACAATCCTAGCAGCCTGAACGAATGTATAAAGTGTGATAATTTTGTAGAAAATAATAGTTTTCAAGTTGTATCGTTCCAAATAAGGATTTATATTTAACTACAAATAGAGCAAAGATCATGTAAAAGCAGGAGGATCTGTAGTGGAGAACTACAAAGTTTATAAAAATACCAAACTTACACATTCAGTTATTGAATAGAAAGCTGAGCTTTTCTGGTGTAAGAGGCAGATTCATGTTCGGCAGCTTTTAACTGTAGTTACGGCTGGAAAATAAAAATAAAAACATACGGCAATACAGTCAACTATGAAATATAGCTTTGAATATTTCACTGCTGCAATCACTGCACAAGCTGACATTTGTATTAAACGAACTCATTACAAACTAGAAAATCAGATATAAAAATTGTTCTCCTGAAATATATCAAATGGTGCAGCTTGAGTTTACGTCAGTTGTTCTCCAGAAACATGGAGATGCAATTCTGAAATACTGGTATGCACTCAGTATAAACAATGCACATTTATCTTCCTGCTTTACACAACGAACGTAAACCAGCACCACCTACTGTCTCGACCCTAAACGGCTCCTTCGTGGATGCTGCTGTAGTTTAACTATTTAAATCACTTCCATGGCTTCTGTAGGGAAACGCATGGTAGTTGGCAGCCATTTGTATATTTTTCCAACACGTTTTCATTTAAGAACACATTCATAGTACACAGGGTCCCAGTTACATCCAACAAAAATACAAACAATTTGTATTTTTTTTGGATGTAACTGGGACCCTGTGTACATAGTTTCGTTCCACCACATGTAGCACATGTGATGTGATTGACAATAAAGAACCTTGACCTTGATAGAAAAACAATTGTGCAGATTTTGTGTGTTAATTAGAAGTGTTTTTATTTACCAGTCTTTATGACATTGGATTGCTTTAAAATGAACAAAAATACTTGAAATAACTTGTAAGCTTAACAAAACGTTATCTACCATATTTTATGGCATATAAGTCGGATCAGTCCAAAAATGTCTCAAAGTGGAAAAAAAACATAAGTCGCTTTGCCGTATAAGTTGCATTTATTATGCATCACCGCTGACCCATCATGTTTATTATGCGTCACCGCTGACCACCGGGAAACGTGGGCCGTTGAGCCAAAAATTGGTTGGCTGCCGCTTTGCTAATAGTGGCCGCAGGAACGCGCACATGGGGACTCGCTGTTGCAGTTTTTCAAAATTTAACAAGATTAATACTTAAAAGCAATTATTTGTTTGTGCGACATTATAGCAAAGGTGTGTCTCAGTTGAACTTTTCCTTAATAAATGCACTTTAATGGTCAAAACAGCTTCATTCCACCTGGGCAGCGTGGCGCCATACATCCATCGCGGCCGGAGAAGCTAGCTCTCCAGCGTCCCTGCACCTGCACCAGCTGAGTGAAGCGAGCGCGCACGGGAGGACTCTCTGTTGCAGTTCTTAGAAATTTAAAGCGTCAGTCAAAAATTGCGTTATGAATATGGCAAAAAATATATGAGTCACTTCAGTGTATAAGTCACAGGACTAACAAATTTATGCAAAAAAACTGCAGAAAAATATGATAATAGAGTTCTGTCCTTATTAATAATAGTCAAGTGTGAGGACAGCTGTGTTGTTCTGATGTGTGACTTCATACCATTGTGTGTGTTTGCTGTTCAGAGATGACTGCAAAGTCCTGCAGCGGCACACCAGAGCTGAAGTGCATCTCTGGGGGCTGCACTGCTGTGCCTCACACAGGTGTCTGTTTATCAGGAGGTGGTGAGGACAGAGGGACGCACACTGCAGTGAGACTGTCACTTACTTAGAAAGACAGAAGACTGTGGAAGATAAATGATGGGTGAGGAAGAGGAAAAGAAGGAAGCAGATATTTAAAAATGACCAAATTTGGTCCAAGATTTTATAGAACTGCAGTAACAGATGCTGTGACATCCAAACAGACAAACGAGGAAATCTATTGATAAATGGTTTTGCAAATAAGCGTGTGTAGGAATACAAGTGTGTGTGTCCTGTTGATTTGGTGCGTATGTGCAGTCCTTCTGTTTGAGGCCTGCAGGCACATTTACAGCCTGCAGGCCCTTCAGTTACCTCGGAGCAGGAAACTGCACAGAGGAAACTGTTTCATCAACGTTTGGTCTCAGTTTGGGAGTACTTCCTTACATTTACACTTAAAAACATCTCAAAAGCAGAGACTACTTTTTCAAATAAGTCCGAATACGAGTGAATTATAAACTTCATCAAAAGTTTAGACCAAAGCAATTCTCAATTTTCTACAACTGGACAGTGTTAAGATATACAGGGAGGAAAGGAATTGAAGGTAGAACATACAAAAAAAACATATTTCACTTAAAATCTTGGACATGCCTGAACTTCAGGATCAAATATTATCTATATTTGTTTGTTCCCACTCATGCATGTGTAAAATATGATGAACACACAATATGAAGGCAGGAGTGAAATGTTAAGAGTGAACCATTGTAGAGAGCAGCAGAAATAATTGCCTTGTTGTTAAGAGTTGCAGACGCTCAGGAGCATTTCTAATGATCACTTCTATATTCATTAAAGCAAAGCAAACAATACAGTTACTTAAACTGATCTATTTTTATTTTTATGCAGCTGTTACTGTATCCCAGTGTCAAGAATTGATAGGAAAGCAACTGTAAACCGTTACTAGACTTTGTATTTTATTTTATACAAATCTGTATGAATGTATTTGAATTGAAACAATCCCCTTTCCAAACAAATTTAGTTTTATTTACTTCAAATATGGAATGAACAATAAAGTCCACAAAGAAAAAAATAATAAATTATATAACACCCTATTTAAAATGGAACAACGTGTTTTGTTTGAAAAAAGAGTAGGAAGAAGTAAACTTTAAAATTACTGTCCCTGTTTAATTAAATAAATTAGCATTTGAAGTTTAAATGATGATGATGAGACCATCAAATATGTTGGCCCCTGATGCAGGTTGTACTTTAAGAACCTAAACTTATTCTTTTTTTTTTTTTTTTTTTTTTGGAATAAAATCAAAATCTCTACCGGTAATTGCTGATCATTACATTTTTTATATATATATAAATGTTTTAAAAGAATGTAAGAATTTGTATTCTTGGGAGTATTTTTTGCACAAATTGGGGAA